ATTATTCATTTCTGCTCCTGGGCAATCACAAAAATAGTACTTAAGATTATTGCTCATCAATTTCCTAAAGTATAACAAGAGGTAGCATGGATTACTGCCTGCTCTTTGTAGACATAGTTACTTTATACAAGTTTGGATTCTGGTCCACGGTCATGGATTTCAAACTTCTGACGGACAAGTTCTTGGGTCAGCAGCCAATGAGGGCCTATCACTTAGTATCATGCAGAGGAGATGCAGACTTAATACAATTAAAAATCTGCTCTTTATAAACAAACTTGGGATTTGTGATCCCTATCCAAGATCAGTTCAGGATCTTAAGATCATTTTTTATCAGAGAGGGATAACTTTGAACTTATATATACAAAACATAACCCCCAGTAACTGTAATCCTATTTCTAACTGTATGAAGAAGAAAACATGTAACATAAGGGATTCATAGATACAGAAATCATACTTTGAACTTGGAATGAGAGTGAAGAAATTAATGATGCACCTTCACTTTTTAGTTTTTCTGCCAGATCAATCACAATACTTTTGGCCTCTGACCAGAACCAAGGAAAAAAGAAAAGTATAACTTCTTATGCCTTGATAATATTTTAATCTTGTTCACAGCCTATTAGAACTTTGAACAGATCCTTGCCAATAGAATGATTGCAATCAATTTTGTAATGATCCACTCTATTATTGATGAATAATTCTGTTAAAAATACACAGCTGCAATTGAAGAAGGGAAAGGAGGAGTGCTTGAATCACTAAGAGATAAGGAATGATTTACAGCCATAAAAATATAAAACTTATACAAAAGTTTAGAAGTTTTACATGGATTTACAGTTTGAGCTAGATGATGACATATATTCTAGACTATATAATTCTACTTCAATACAAAATTTTACACATCTAGATTACAGAATATCGTGTAAAAGGTACAAACATATAAAATTTGTTTGGAAAATTGAGGAATCAACCATTGATCAGTGGAATCCACATGTTAGTGAGCAGTTTCAGTTAAATTAAGTTTTGATTTCTCCAAAGTTGATCAAACTTGGTTTGATTTGAAATTTTTACTAGAGTTGAACAAAAGTGTTAACATATCCTGGAATGGACAAACTTGATATTCAATTACATTTTTAGAAGCACTATGCAGCAAAACAGAATAAATCCATTTGTTCTACCATATCAAATCCACAGATCAACATTCATATGCAGAATAAATGACTCACCTTGATACTATATTGGCTGAATGAAAGATATCCCCAAGCCTCAGTTCAGCAATGACTCTAAGTCGACTGGTATAGAGGAATTAAAAAGAATCATTGATGATAAACTGCAGGTACAACAGGGAAAAGGAAAAAAGAGAGAGAAGCGGGATGGAGGGTGCCAAAGTCAACTTATGTCCATCACAGAATGAAAATTGGCATCCATACCTGTACCGAGTAAAAGTACTCAGCACTGACTGAAAATCTGCAAGACCTGCATTATAACCCTCTCTGTGAATGACATTTTTATCACTGTCCTGTTTAACAAGTAGTTGGTTTGCCAACTGACGTCGCTTTTGCAGGTAACACTCTTGTAGATCATTGAACTGCAGCCAGAGGTGGAAAACGAAAGTGAATTTAGGCATGAAAAAAATAGTGCATCAATAAGGTTTTATTAATTTGAGCTGAGCAAAAACTAGATATCATCTCCAGACAAAAATCAAAAGCACAACAAAGCAATCCAAACACTATTTCCAAACAGTTGATACTCTCATTAAAAATGCTTCAATTTTGAAGTTAAGCCAATTGTCAGGCACAACTATTTACAATAAAACCACTCAATGTAAATCGTTCTCCAAATCTAACCCCATAAGATTTCTAGCTTGAGCCTCTAACTGTTTATGGCAAGCCATATATCCATGATATGTAACATGGCTTCAAACCAATCACACAAGTAAACCCAAATTGTAAGAGAAGGTACCATTAATGTATGACCAAAGTGGTCTGTTTATGCGATTCACAGAGCTCTGTGCAGCAACAGAAAAATACAAGTAGCAACTTACAACTAGTTTAAATAAGGTTAATTAAGCCAAGTAAAAGTGTTAATGTTATTAGTTAGTACGCTTTTTTAGCTATTTTTTAATGCTGCACTGACCAAATGGCATTTAAGTCTTGAAGTCATTTTCCATTATGTCAAGTACAATTACATAATTAACAGTTAGAGCAAACAAAACTTTGCTACCACATTCTTCTAAAATTACTAACCTGGGCATGAACCCGCTTTTTTCTTGCAACAGACAGACCAGATTGATTGAAACCTTGTGAGTCTGCTCCACTTAAGGCATCTTTTCTCTGAGGTCCATGGCCACTCACCTGAGCCTTTCCATCTATTTTCTTGTTTTGAAGATTCCCTGCAGACATCCATCCTCTGACATTAAGGGAACTAGAGACAATTCCACTACTGTTCTTGTCTATGGATGAAGGCCATGGCTTTCCTGTGCCAGGATCATCTCCAAGCATCCGCAATTTCACAGAGTACCTATCTCTTGCACGGTACAAATCTATTCTATGTCTTTCCACAGAATTTATGTCCTCTTTAATAAACTGCAGATCAGATTGTACCTACAGAAAACAAAAAGAATCTTTTAATTAAAAACTAAAAAAGCCAACCAAAATAATTATATAATGTAGCTGTTCGTAACAATATGTGCACAGCACTGTGAACTCTTAGACTAAAATTATAAAAAACTAATCGCAGAGTCAGGGGAATATGCTGCAGCTACTGAGGGATAAATATCACAACTAATGGAAATATATATATAGAAAAGGGAACAAAACAATACACCCAGCATTGATCAGTCATACCGAAGAAAGTATTGGATAGAACAGGATGATGGCACAAAAAATAGTAAACAGAAATGACATAGTAGCTTAAAGTATAGGCAAATGCACCTCATTCAGTTCATCAACTTTTTGTTTCCGCAAGCAGTTTAAGAAATCCAGCAGTATTTGCATATTTCTCTCAGCTTCTTCCTGTTCCATTTTTCTCTTCTTCTCTGCAAGGAGGGACAAGAGGTTGTCCAGTTCCTTAATTGAAACTTCATAACCCTGTTATCGAAAAACAAAAGTACCACATTTAGATATGAAAAATGCTTGAGTATAAGAAACTATGAGCTCATCTGCTCTTGCTCCATTTAAAGAAGACATTGGATGTCATGCTTAGTTGACAGCAATGAGTGGCAATATATAACAAATTAAAAACAAATATTCATGAAAATTTACTTTAGTTTGTATAAGCTCACCAATTTGGAAGCTTTGTGCAGAGTGTATCAAATTATTATCAGACACCCTAACTACTACTACAGTGATATTTCATGCCTTAAAGTGGGAAGGGAACTGCAAGAAATCTTGCTTTCTAGGGATAATGTGTCATCTACAAATTTTGACTACATGTACATGTGTGGAAAACAAAGCTGGATCTGCTCTCAGCTTATAGCACAAAGTGACTCAATTGTCATTTTAAGGTCATTCTTGCACCACAGAAACAATCATGTTTTATAGTCTAAATAAGGATCATTTTCACCAATCGCCATTGGACCAACATGGTTCAAATTGAACATGGAAATAAAGTAGGAAAAAATTGATAATAAAACCTAATTTAGAAGTTCCAAAACAACAAAGATAGTCATCTAATGACTACTCCAAGATTGTTACTTCAGTAAATACCAAACATGGTATATGATAATTTTGATCCTATTTTCTCCATCATTATGCCTACCAAATGCACATTAAGTACCTTAAATGTATTAAAAGTAAAGCACTAAATTGACTGAAATGAAAGAGCCATTAAATGAATTCCTAATATATAAGTAAATGTTACCATTAACTTTTTACATTAACTAAAAAAAAAAAAAAACACTTTGCATATAACCATGAATTGACTATCGTCTATAGACATGACTGATTAAGAAAAGTAGCTCTTAATGGACAAATACTTCTTTAGCAAAGAGAAAGCAAGATTAATTATGAGTTTATTGGCCCAGGAAGACCCAAATCCATCAATGCAGAACAAGTACCTTGAAATCAAAAAACTCAAGGAACAATCTGAAAACCTTAATAAAAAATTCTCATATATCCATAAGCATATAATCATATCTAAAATACCAACCTCCAAAACAATCAAAATGATAGTCTTGATATCTCACAATCCAAGCCTACCCAACACTAAAATAACATAGGTTAAAACTAGACCCTAAACCCTAATAAAATGCAAAATACAAGATATAACCCTTAAATTTCTAACACTTGGAAAAAAAAGTCAACTCTATTAATACTATAAAATAACCCAAATAATCTAAAATAGCCTAAATGTATGCAAAAATTACAACTAAACCTATAAAATACAAAATAAAGTCATATAGACAATTTTTTCCTTCAAATAGCATATTTCCATCCTCCATCACTAATTCAGAGTCTTTTATGAAAAGAATGTATACGCTGACCATTAAGATAATGTTTAAAGCTACGAGAGAACATGGAATAATTTCAGCTTTTGGACAATCAAAACCAGCAAAATTTTTGGTTGAATGTGCAAACAAATAAGTTGAAGTACTACGAAAACAGGTTGGATGGTAACTAACCTGCTGTAATGCCTGACGAAACTGTTCCACAGGGGATGCAGTTTTTGATATTTGACGAGCTGAAGTCTTCTTCAATAGCTACAAATGTGGTACAGAGAAATCGTATAACAATAAGCTGCATTTCGGAGTAGAAATAGACCAGTTCAAGATACAAATTATCTTAAAATTACATCATAAAAAAACCGTTTAACTTACAAAATCATTCACTCAAAGTAACAAGACAATACGATGATCTAAAAGAAACCAATACCAGGTTTCTACATTTATTACAGTATTCTAAATTGTCAAAAGTTCAATGTTCATTTTGTTCATTAGCTGAAGCATTTTGCACTCAGAAATTGAACATCTTGGAATATTGAAATTCCAAAAAACAAGGTGAAGGGGGATCACTAATAAATCAATTCTAAAAACCTCTGATTTAAAAGTTTTCAGCCCCGACGACTGGCTACATTAAATGCTAAAAGCATTAAGCCAGTTTCATACAAAGACTGCACTAAGTACACAGTGAAAGCATACAACAAATAATTATAAGATGCAAGAGAGAGATAGTGGGCAAAATAATAGCCAGGCAGTCTGTAAGGAGATCAACATTCACTTCCAATTCATATGGAAACTCAATCATAAACCATACAACTAGAATTCTTCAACAAATACAAAATTTTGGTCCTCAGGACGTCTAAAATGACTACTGGTTCACAGGTCGAGTCAAGTTGACATTATAAATCATTCAAACACAAATATAATTTTCCATGATATGAAGCAGAAAACAATAATTACAATGCTCCTTGAACATAAGAGCTTAATTTTCAAAGTCAAAACACCTTAAAATAAATCAGAAATTACTAAAGAAATAAAAAGAGTAAAAAACAAATATGGTTTTGAACAATTTTCTTCCACCAAAGCTATGTTTAATTGTAATTTTACTAGTTCTTCGTTTTGCTTCCTTAAAAGTGGCTACAAAAAAAATTCCTTATCATCATAATCATCCTTTTAATTAAAGATGAGTAAATGGCTAAAAATGTAATGCATATTCAAACATAATTGTTTGGCGTATTAGTAAAATCATGCATTTTTCTATTCAAAATACTTGTATCTGTTTCTGTATCCAAACAAACTTGGCCTAGAATCTGTCCTTGTATCCTAGTAAACTTGTCAATCTTTTTGCTTGGGAAAACCAAAATCTAGTAGTAAAAGCAATCACATACCCAAAACAAGCTCTACTAAATAGCTGATGCGTTCTAGTAAACAGACGATTCCAATCATATCTAAATAAATCCATCTTCTCAAAAAGCCATATATACACAAACAGAAGCTCAGATAACCATAATTTCACATTAATTCTACCATTTCTTTTCGAAACTAAATTAAAATCTAAAGTTCAAGCGAAGAAAAAGGAAATCCAACCAACCTTATCGAGCAAAAAGTTAGGGAAAAGCTGACTATTAGTGAGAAATTGAGAGCAACAAGGGCAATCGCTCTTGTTTCGAAGATGAGTAGTAATACACATGTAGCAAAAGCTGTGGCCGCAAGACGTTAGAAAGGCGTCGTTAATTATCTGCATACAAATCGGACACAATAAGTCCTTGTCCACCTCCGCAACTTCAACAGCAGCGGCGGCGGTGACGTCAGTGGCTGCATCGAGCAGCGGCGGAACTTCCTCGAAGGAAGACGGTTTACAGTCCGGCTTCACCGCCGGCACTCGAGGCTCGGTGCCAGTTGAGACTTCCTCCATGGTTTAATTACAGTTTTCTTCGGATTACATTTTGATTGATTTTCTTCCGTTGGAGTTGGAGAAAAAGCAGAGGGGGAAAAAGAGGGACCCACCGTGCGGTTTTGTGAGGGTTATGAAAGACCACGCAATCACCCGGTTTTTGGACCGTTCGCTTCTTTTTGTTGCCTTTGTATGAGTATAAGGTGTAGCTCGCTTGCCGGTTTTGTTTCGGTTGTGGGTAAAAAACTTAAAAATATAAACAGTACTTCGGTGGTTAAACTTTAATGGACTAAAGTCAATATTTTGAATTTTTGTCAATTTAAAGTTAAATATTTTAATTGTAATAATTAAATGTAAAAAAAATTATTTTCTATTATTAAGAGTTAAAGTGAAAAGTATCTAATCTATATAAAATACACGCATGATCTGAACATTGATTTATTTTGTAAGAGACGGAAAGATAATTTTATCAAAAAGTCTTTTTTTTAAGCAAAACAATTCAAATTATGATAAAATATATAACAACTTTTTTCATCATGACATATAATAATTAAATTTTAAACATTATATACAATAATTATATTTTTTAACATCAAATGTAATAATTAAATTTTTTATAATTATATTTTTTAATATGATATGTAATAATTAAATTTTTAACATGATAATAATTATTTTCAATATGATGTGTAACAACTAAATTTTAAAACATGAAACATTACAATTTTCAATATAAAATTAATAATATTTTTTTCACAAAAAATAATAATAATATTTCTTAACATGCCATGTCATTAGTATAAACACTATATTTTTATTTCTATATAGGCTTTTATTTTATATTTGATTTTATGTTTTATTATTATTTTATTAATTATTTGAATCAAAGTCCACTCAATAGGCTTTGGGTGGTCCAAATTATGTCTCGAGGCATTAAAACAGACCTAAAGTGTAGGCCTATTAATAAAAATAAATCCACTTAGCTAAAATGAAATTAGAATGAAACAAACCAGTCAAATGAAATTAAATTTAACAACCCAAGACTAACCAAATCAAAGAATGTTCTCAAAATCAAATAAAAAAACGAGAGAAATGAAAAGGAAAAAAAATGTTTTTTTTAAAAAAAGGCCAGTTAGGTATACCCAGCACAACAAGGTGCGTTTTGCACCATGCCATATTCAAGGGGCATTACCAGACATGAGAAATTTGCATCTGGTAGGATCACTCAACAACGTGTTGGGGAGAGGCACAGGTGGCACCCAACAAAAAACGCTACCCTCTTTCCAAATTATAAGAGGTCAGATTTCACCAAAAAAAAACCTTAAAAGTAAATTTTCAAAAAACCCTAGAAGTCCCTAAAGCAAAAACATAGTACAAACAACCTTAACCTTACCAACCGCATATCACAACCACGAGAAAATAAAAAAATACCCAAAAAAATACAAAACAATAAATATAGTAAAATAGGGAGTTGGGTTTAAGGAAAGGATGATTGTGGTTGAAAGGTTTATTAGGGTTTGAAGAGGGTTTGGCAATATGTAGGAGAGAAGGTTGTTTTTTAAGGGGCTTGGACGAGTTCTTTTCTTTCGATCGAAGGAAAGGAAAAGGGAAGGATTTCGGGAAACTGAAAAAGGAGTGGTTTTGAGGTTATGTCGACGGTGATAACAACGGTATAGGGAAAAAGAGGGAAAGAGAAGGATTAAAGAGATAAGAACGAACATAGGGATTTCAAGTAGAGAAAAGGAAGAAAGAGAAGCAGTCATTCGACTTAAAGAAAGAAAGTGAAGAAGGGAAATGAAGAAAGAGGAAGAAAATGGGGCTTAAATACCTAGGGTTTGGGGACCTCAAAATGGTGTCGTTTTTGCAATTGTTGTAAAGCAAAGAGGGAGGTTCCTAAACAGTACCGTTTGGTTATGATATATGTATAGGGATGAAATAATAAAAAATGAGGCAGAGAAAATTTCCAAATGGTGGAATAATAAAGTTAATTAGTAATTAATATTGGAAATAATAAGTATATCAAATACCATCATTGCATTATTTAAACATCGTGGCATATAGACATTTTATGTGTTTGAGTCTAAACCCTGATGATGGGACTTTTCGAGAGAGCTTGCGAAGGCAAGTTCTTTTGGATAATTCTCTAAATGAAAGGATACCTTCGAATCCCCACTAGTATGATGGATGGATTTGGAGAATAACCTTAATAAAAAGCTTTTGCTGCCTTAGGAATGATTATTTTTTTCTTACAAATGACTAATCTGATGATTGAATTTATTCCTTAAACTTACGAATGTGAGTTTCTCGGGTATTTTCTTAGTTGAGAGAGTATTCTCGGATCCCACCAGCATAATGGACAAATTTGAAAAATATCCTTAATTAAAAGTTTTCATTTGACATTATTCAGACTTTATGTCATGCATTTCATAATTGCATCATGCACATGTCATACTTGTAAAATCGAATAAGATGTTTTAGTTTGCTAATAAAATAAAAAATAAAATAAGTAAGCAATAATTAGGGAAACATAAGAATAAAATCCATAGTTCAAGTTATAATTGTATAGCATATGATTAAATGGTACCGTTCGTGAAATAGGCATCACAAGGGTATTAATCTTTCCTTGTACATAATCGTACTCTTGAACCTAACTCTAAAAATTTACAAACCTAGTTATTGTTCTTTAAATGGATCTAAAATTAATTTGTGACTCCATTGAATATAACAAATTTAACAAGTGACCAATCGCACCTAGATAAGGGGACTTCTAATTTTTCACTTTGGACAGATGGGTTCTCAAACTCGCACGTTACGATAATTAGCCCACGTGATTTTCTGTTATGTGTGATACATGCTCCATCCATCTGTCAACTTAGCCCTTAATTGGATGGAATTGAAAACGTTTTGACCATTAATTGTTACAATTGAAACATTTGACGCTTAATTGAAAAAATGCCTAAATGTTTAGCCCCAATTTAGGTATATAGTCGATTTTAAATAAATAGAAATCAATATTCCTATGCAAGTTTACATAAAAAAATAAAAAACTAATGAAATTCCTATGCAAGATTACAAAGAAGTATTTACTTGAATAAAAGAGTATAAATTTACAAGGAGAAAGCTGACGTAAATAAAAAGGTATAACTTATTTATGATTTTAACCTCTATGGTGGAATTTAAAGATTGTTTTAATTTTGCTGGTAATCTTGATCAACAATTTCAAGGTCATCCTAAAGCAAAGTTGATCACCTGTCTTGATCCACATTGTTAACAATACTAATCACTAATTTTTAAAAGTGACTCTAAGGCATCCCTAATTATTATCCTAATCCACATTATCAATGGTCCTACTCATTAATTCATAAGTGACCTCAAAGTATCCTTGATAGCTTGCCGTGATCCACATTGGTGACCTTAAGGCACCTTTGATCACTTTTCTTGATTCATATTGTTGATAATCTTACGGATCCCAAGACATCCTTACTGGTCTTGATCCACATTGATGATAATCTGGATCATCAATTCCAAGGTGACCTTAAAATATCTTGTACAAAGTTGAGGTTAAGGCAGTGATAACATAAAGTTAAGCATACTTACCTAAAATAGAGGTTGAAAACTAGCAAGATCTTGTACCTCATCATACATGGCAATCCATGCATCCTTACATGGCAATTCACATATACCTAACGAGATCCCTCCATACATGGTGATCCATCATTCATACTTGGTGAGATCATTACACTTATGTGGTGAGAACCTTACATATACATGGTGAGATTTCCACTCACACGTGATGAGCTCTACACATACATGATGAACACTATTCATATATAGAAAAATCCCTACACGACAATCCATGCATACCCTCATGCATATGGTGAACCGCATTCATGCGTGGTGAGCCCCCTACACACTTAATGGTCCTAGTTCATGTATGACAAAATCCCTACATGGAGGTTCACGCTACTTGACGAGAATTTTATACAAACGTGGGATGGCAATGGTACCTTGTTATAAGGTATCTTATAATTGGATTTGGGACGAGTTCGGGTAAGGTTTGAGTACCATTTATTAGGTACCCAATGCTCAAACCCCGATACCCTTTTATCAATATTTTACTATTTATATATATTATATAATTGATAATAGTTGAAAGGAAAAAAAATTTGGGGAAGAAGACAGTTGTTATAACGGGAATATGCCTTTTTATAAAAAAGCTATTTACAAAGCAAATAATGGTTAACATAGAAAGAAGAAAAAATAATTAAGCCCACAGCACAGTTTGCAACACCTAACAAACATGTTGTTTTTAGCCACCTAGCCTTTTACATTCTCAAAGAAATAACAACTAATAGACATAAAGAGGAATAAAGAAAAAAAATAAAGAAGTAATAAGAATACTAGTCACATGATGGGCTTAGTTAAGTAACTACAAAGAAGTCATAATTCAAATGCTTGTCTTTTACTTTACCCGTTAAACTTAAATCCATTTCGTACCAAATGCAGCAAAATTGATCTTCATTTTAAGACACAACTTGAAGATCTATTTTGCAACCTCCAAGCTTGAACCCTCGAATCTTTCTTTGTTAAGTCCTTTAGTGAATATATCTGTTATCTGATCAATGATACTGCAATACCCGAGAGAAATCTCTCCATGCTTCACAACATCCTTGATAACATGATATTTAATCCTTATATGCTTGGTCTTTCCATGGTTTAGGACTAGAGTGTAGTGGATTTTGAGACCTGGCTATAATTGATTTGTTGTCCACCCAAAGTGTAGTTGAAACTTCTTAGTTAAACTTCAAATCCAGAAGAATCTTTCTTAACCATAATACCTTATCTGCAACATATTCTACTTTAGTTGATGATTGGGCCATAATGTTTTACTTCTTAGAGTTCCAAGCAAAGATGACACTTATAAAGGAAAAACAGTATGTACTAGTGCTTTTTGAATCATCCACACTTTCACCCCAATCATTGTCATAGTAGCCTCTAAGCTTCTGTTTATTTGATTTATTAAACTTCAAGCCATAACTCAGGGTCCCTTTAATGTATCTAAGAACTCTTTTAGTAACAATTAAATGGATCTTGGAAGGTTTATGGATAAATCTAGAAAGTAAACTAGTGGCACACATAATTTCAAGTCTTATAGCAAAAAGATACAAAAAACTACCTATTAAACTCCTGTAGTACATGTCATCTGACTCAGCACCTCCATCATCATTACTGAGCTTGCTACCATAAGCTAAAGGAGTTGCAACTACTTTGCAATTATCCATTTTAAACTTCTTTAGTAGTTTTGAGGCATATTTCTTTTGATGCAACAATACGTAATTAGTTTTCTAACATATTTTTAGACCAAGGAAATAGGACATCTTCCCTAGATCACTCATATCAAATTCATTCTACATTGTAGCCTTAAAGTCATCTAAAAAATCACTATTAGTTTAGTGATGAATAAGTCATCAACATAAAGTGATACTATCAAACAAACATCATTACCTAAGTTTTTAACAT